TTTGCAATGTGTCCTTCTTGTTGGCAGGTAAAACATGTTTGTTTCTCTGTAGAGGTGAATATTCTGTATGTGTTGTTTTCGATTATAATTGTAAAGGTGTACGAGATGTGTTTGGCGTCTTCTGGGTCTACGTATACTTGTCTTCTGAAACTTAGTATGTGGGACAAGTCTGGGTCAGTGATGCCTGCTTTTAAGAGCGTGATGTTGGATAATAATTTGATATTGTTCTTCCTGAATAAGTTTTCGATTTGACTGCTCGGGATTATCGTGTGAAACGTTTGGTAGTATGATTCTTTGGGCTGGAAGGACCATCGGTCTGATTTCTATGTTTTCTTTATTTATCACTATCGATTTGTGGTTTTGTGTTAGGTTTGTTACTGTCTGTTTACTGTCCAGATACATGCATATTCTACAATTTGATATTCTAGAAAGGAATTTAATTGCTTTGGGTGATCCTATGATGTTACCAATCGCTCTAGCATATTCTTTAATAGTGATGCCGTCAGTTGATTGAAGGATTATGGCTTGGTCCTGGGTCGGGGAGTATCCTTGTTGCGTTTTAATTGCATTAGCGTAAGAGCTTTTGGGTTCAGTGGAGATCCCGGTTTCTGTGTTGTGCTGGGTTTTATTTGTTGTCATAGTGGAATGACGCGCACTCACACACGACACTACATAAACACACTGTGCACTTATAATCGGGTTGTATGCCCGCACTGCTGTGTTGGGGTCACCAACGCAGCTAACTGTATTCTATCTGACTCTTCACACTCCGTGGTACTCGACTTCGATACGATTCCCGGTGGTACGTCCGTTCGGCTGTCGGGACAAGACTGACCTTTGATTTTATATTATATTTTCGTATCCTTTTTTCAAGTTCGCACCATACGTGCTCAATGGGGTTTATGTCAGGCGATTGTGGGGAAATAAGTAACATATGGGGTGTGTTATATAATAACCATTGACGTACCATATGAGTTATGCGTTTCGGATCGCAGTCTTGTTGGAAATAAAATGAAGTTCCAATATCTAATTTATCAGCACTTTTTTGTAAATTTTCTTTTAAAATGTTCAAATATAAATGTTTATCCATTGTTGTATCTATAAAAATCAACTCTTCAACCCCAGAAGCAGCAGTGCACCCCTACACCATAACACTTTCACCTCCATGCTTTACTGTGGGTTTTAAATTCTTTGTCTCCAATTGTCTGTATTCGGTTTTCGCCATATTTTTTTGCAACCATCTGATTCGTAAATATTAAATTTTGACTTATCTGAAAATATTACATTATTCTAAAAATCAAGATTAACATTTATATACTGTTTGGCAAATTTTAGTCTTTTCTTTTTATTTATTTTGCTAATGAACGGCTTCCTTCTTGCTACTTCGCTTCTGTATCTTGCCCTATGTAATACTCTTTGTTCTGGCGCAGAACAGAACCCTCCGAGGCGTCAGTCAGGTCAATTCCTACAAAGCCTCGGCCCTGCCGAGAATTGCCAGATGTGCTATCATACCTCTCATCTAAGGACACTTTCTCTGGCCTTGGAGAGAGAGAGACAGTATGTGGAAAAGCTCGGTAGGACACAAACAAAGCCTAGTCTAGAAAACAAGGCGCCTTGGTCGGCTCTAGAAAGTCGCCTACCAATTCTAAAGGCGACGTAGATGCACGTAGAGAACAGACACTCAAGCAGTCACCAGTACCAGTACAGATCACTCAAGGAGTCACAAGCAGTCCGTCAGAGGACTGACTCCGCGTCAGTTATTTATATATTCATTTACACTAGTAATCAGTTCAAATACCGTCTTGTCCGTGTCAATCACAAGGAGAGCTAGCGTGCCCTCTCCTGACACATCACACATACACAGTTTATAATCAACCTTTGTATTACTCGTGAAATATAAGTATTTATTCTACATCACGTCTCATTCATTCCATAAAACATCTCTCCGGAGGCTGTAAAAGGCACGACGAGAGAACGACGAGCGAAGCGGGCAGCAACCAACGTTCACCGTCGAGCTTGCCGTAACACTCTTTGTATTGTTTTTGGATGTACTTTATTTTGCACTCTTTCCTGAATTTCTGTTGCAATTTCAGATGTAGTTGTTTCTGGGTTTTTCTTAATAATTTTAATAATATTTCGTTCTTCTCTTAAACTTAATATTCTGGGCCTACCACACCTTGGAAAATTTTGCAATATTCCGTCTTCTTTATATTTATTTACTATACATTGTGTCGAGCGACTTCTTTTGACAATATTTGCATAATATTTGAAATATTTGCATAAGATTTTCCTTCTTGATGTAAATTTATTATAATTTTTCGCTCTTCTAATAACGTTTCTTTACATCCCATTTTCCCAGTTTCTTTCGTCCTATATTGCAAATTATTTAATTATAACGTTGCCATAATGACTGTTTTGAGGAAACTGACTTCGAATTACCAAATTACAATATTTACTCTGACTAAAATGTTTTGATTTCAACGTATGTCTTATATTTGTCAATAAAAGTAATACTGTGCGAATACTTTTGTCCTGACGAATTGTTACGATCTTATAAATTTTATATCATTACAAGTTACACAGTAATACAGTTAAGTTTTTTTTGTAGGTATTTGTTAATGTTAGTGTTTATGTATGATACATAATCACATTTACATAAATGTATCTAATAAATTAGAAAATATTGGTGTTTTTTATTTCGATATAGCAAGTGTACGAATACTTTTGTCTCTCACTGTACATATATCTTATGTGAGAGCAAAATCAATCTATGATAGAAATCGAATTTTGTGTTCAAATAGAAGTTTATTATATGACTTTAGATCTTATTCATAGAATTCATCGTCCTATCGTGCAATATAACACAGAGCAAAACAAATATTGTTGTATTACGCTAACAATAAGATATGAAAAGACCGATCCGTACGTCGCTAATGACCGAGATATCGATGCGACATTAAATAAAAAAAACAACAACAATAAGATATGAAAAGATATGTTTAAAAAGAGTAAATTTCTTACTATAAAAATCAAGTATATTATTTCATACTCGTTAATATTGATTTAATAATTTTAAGTAAATACAATATTCTATTATCAAAATGGTACAAATAAGACTACAAAATAAAGAAACAATATGGTATTCAAATCATTATAGATTTTCATTCTTTGCGTAGATCAAATTTTATCTTATTTAAAAATATATTAAAAAGATTTCGTAACACTTTGAAGGCAAAAAAATTTCAAAATATTTTACATAAAAATTTCATCATAAGATAATTTTAAATGAATTACCTGATCGAAGAGTGCGAATAGCTTCTGAAAGTTTAGCTATGTCTTTCGCATCATAACGAAGGATCTCGGGAATTTGCGTGTACTGGCCCAAAAAACAGAAAGCCACAAATTTCACGAATTCCACTTCTTGTTTGATTCGTTCTTTGCCGCTATCTGATGAAACAGCGTTCGGCAGCGATTTCCGAAATCGAATTACTTTGCGTTCCTAAAATATACAGAGACAAAGATATAATATAAAAGAATAACAGACTATATACAAATAATCAGTAGTTTTTACAAATAACTTAAAAAATCATAAAACAGTGGAATGTTTCTGGTATGAGTTAATATAACAAATGATCATGTATTTCGCACCATACCTGTTCAAAAACAACTTTGTATTTAGATCGATCCGTTGTGATATTTGAGAAAATATACAGGTCAATACAATTTTATAGTTTCAAAAACTTTAGATTTTAGATTCTAGTTCCAAAAATTAATAATAATTTCTTCGATCCTCTAAACTTAAATTAAATTAACTTTTAAATTTGTATATCTGTAATTACATATTACTTTATGGAGATATATGTATAAATATTATAATGATTTCAACTAATTAAATACTTATTAACTTTAGGCAGAGATATATGTATAAATTGCTTTATGCGCATACCTATATATAAATATAAACTTTTGGATAAATGAATTTTGTTTGAATAATATGAAACAAATAAGATTGTGTAAACCTAACCCAAACCTAACCCTTTGACTACGGCAGACTTTGAAACGTACCAGCTGTACCATACCGTAGGAAATTAGTCACAATCTACACCGAGAATGGCGAAATTTTTTGTTAGGTGTGCATTTCTGAGAAAGTACATTGAAATAATCAAAATATTGAATTCCACTACATTAAACTAATATTATTTTTCTATTCGTATTCTACATTGAATTGCTAGTAAAAAACACATACTAAAAATTTAACATTGACATTATGCTTTTTATAACAATCGTTAAAGAGATTTATAAATAATCGTTAGGGATATATATAACAGTCACTAAGGAGATAAACACACTGTTGTTTTCAAGTAATTAAAAAAGAGAGTTTGAGCACAGAGAGTAGTTAAGTTAATTTGTTATAATTTACATTGTATGAGAATATATATTTTGTTACATATATCTTATTTAATATACGTTCCAAAAATAAAATACGTAGTCATTCTTTCTCTTTGTAGTACGGTGATTGTATTAAGTTATCAAACAATTACATCGTATCTACAAAGTGTGAATATACACAACATGAATCATGTGTTATGTTTGCATGTACTTTTTCTGGCCATTTTATTATTCCAATTTTTCATTTTAAGGATATAAAAAAAATAATTGTAAAATAAACATATTTAAATAATATATGACTAACAGAATATGTATTTGTTGAATCAGCATTCACTTACTTCTGGTTCAAATGAGATTTGCTGAAATTATGAGCGATAAAATTTTCCGGGCGCCTATAGGCGCCTCTCGTGTCAACGGATCAAAGTAGGTTAAGCTTCTACACGCGCCTACAGTATCGTAGGAGCAATTTTTTAAGCGCCTTTAGGCGCCAACAGTAGTCAAAGGGTTAAAATAGAATCAATCAAGATAATACTAAATTAAATTAATTGTTTGACTTGAATAAGTTATATAGCGAGTTTACATTATGTAAAATAGTAAATTATTTATTACCTATTTAGTTACATATGTGAAAAAGAATTGAAGTAAAATATCAAATTTCTCTTTTTTTGCAAAAAAAGAAATTAAATTTTACATAAAAACAATTATACATATATATTTATACATTATAATAATTATTAGGTAATTTTATATATATATCTCTATTTTGCTATAATTCTTACTGTATTGTCACTGAAATCACGAGACTCTAATTATAAAGATAAAGGAACTTTCGAAACAATGCGAGAAATGAAACTCGTTACGAAAATAGATAGCATAGAGAAAAATTTGCTGGAGCACTTAATCGAAAGGTTGAAATTAGGTTGACACGCGGTATTTCATATCGCAACAAACCAGAATTTCCATTGCACAGCTGGCTTCAATTACTATCACTGAATTGTTTAAATGATGTGGTGTTGATTATTGGTGTATACATCGTGTTTTACACAAAAATGAGCAGGTACAATTAATAAATCTACATTTTCTCGTGTTAAAAGAAGCAAAAAATCATCATGATTATTTGATAATGCTTCTGCGATTATTGTTTGACAATGTTGTAAGAAATATAGCTATCATAATGAAACCTGGCAATCATTACATTTTCATCAATTATTATTTTACAATAACTAAATGAACGAAATACAAAAACTCAAATTAGATAATTGCAAATAATGAAGATTTCTACAAATGTAATATGTTTATTGTGTATTAAAAGTATAACACACGCTTAATTGTTTTAATTAAAAATGTGTATATTATCAAGGGAATGTGTATAATATCAAGGAAATAGAAAACTTTAAATAGTAAAATATATGCTGTCTACATTTTTATTGTTAGTATCACTTATGCAATAAATGTTATAAATTTTTTACTTGATGAATACTATAAATTTTATACTACTTGCCAACATCTTATAAAGTGTGGCAATTTATAAACAATTTATGTATGTATAATATATAGATAAATAATAAACTAATATGTATAAGATACATATAAAGTTTATATCATTGTTTATATTGATACAATTATAACTGTAAATTAAATAAATAATCGTAGATGGTGAAAAAGATGGAAATTATAAATAAAGAATTTATGAAAATATATAATATCGAAAAATATTAGATATTACTATAGCAACTATGTCAAATTATTATACTATTAATTAGAAACAGTGATTAATATTGTTAATATTAACTGTCAATATTAACAGAAAACAATTTTCCAATATTTGATAACAAAGAGAAATTTTAAGAATACAATGAACTATTAAATTATTGATTAATGATAATACATAATTAATGATAATTCTATGATTGATAACAACATTATATGACAAAACTGTATGTTATATTTGTTATACACTTTCCTTTGTCAATTCCATGTTCAATCAAATTGTATGAATTGAATAAAATATGTAACTTGACTCTCAGAGTTTAGAAACTTATATCATAGTAAATATATATGTAAATAAATATGAGTGTGTGTATGTGTGCGTGTAAGCGTATGTATATGTGTGCACATGTATTATGTTAGACGAAATTAAATTTTGTATATTGGGATTTTCAAAAATTATTTTTAGCGGAGTACTTTATTTGAAAAAAGCAATGTAGTTGGATGAATACAAAATAATACACGATTTGATATGTTACATCTATATTTATAGATATGTTTATATGTTTATGGACACGTTTTTCCGTTATCCAATTCAGTTTATAAACGTGTTTGTAAATGTGTATATATTGTATATGTATTTACAAAATCTACTTATTATATATATAATCAAAACATTTTTATAAATAAAGTAATGAATAAATATATTCTCTATCATTATGTCCATACTGTTGTTTGTGTATAATTCATTTATTGCACTGTTCACTGGTCGCTGTACGCTGTTCATAAAAGTCCATACTGGCGCCGAACATAGTTTGCAAACTACAGCATGAATCCCGCGAAAGAAACACACGAACGTTAATTTAGATATGTGATCAATAAATATATCAGTTTTAAATTAAAGTCAGTTTTCAATTAATAAAACATTCGGATGATGTATTATTTGATTACTTGAACGATGATATGCAATTCAGTGAAATTTAATATTCAACATGTGACGTGTTGAATATTAAATTCAGTATCGATTGAATTTATCATCAACAAACTTCTTTTTTTATTTTTTAGAATCGATTGTATCGATTGAATTTATCATCAACAAACTTCTTTTTTTATTTTTTAGAATCGACGAATGATTGATCACGCTTGAGTTAAGCAAAAATTTAGTGATGAGCTAATTTCGTATTATCGATTAAAAAGTCGATGTAGGTAAGCGATGTCAATATACTTGAGCGAAAATAAGATCTAGAACATTTGATTTTGTAGTATCCATGTGAACTTCTCAGGTGCTTGTCGTCTATCATAAATGTCCAATCAATATATCGACTGTTCTATCCTATCGGTTGACGTACATAGCTGTAAGTTTCTTGTACGTCACCCATAGTTGTTATAATAAGTTGCTATATATGAAACCACATATCACTTTTTACTATATAATATTGTAAACGTATACACATTATCCAGAAAAATATGGTAAGGAAAGTTTTTCTTCTATGAAAAAATTATAATTTTAAACAAAATAAAAAAATTAAATATTCCATGATTGTGATGATAAAAATGTACATAGTTCAATAAATATTTATTCAAAAGCATGTTATCACTTTTATGTCTTCCTTACGTTTTCAAAATAAAATAATTTTTTTCCTAATTTTGTTCTTTTCCATGTAAAATAATTTTTATTTAGTAAAAAATTTTCAGTATAACGACATTAATCAAAAATCAAATCTACATATTAATTTTGCATTATATTTTACGTATCTTACTTTTGGTAACGTATAAAATTTCCTTTCTTTAAATTCTCTTACAATTATAATATTATTTAATAAAAAAGTACTGACAAATTGTATTTTTCAATAATTAAATTCTCAATTTTCAAAAATTAAGATATTTTTTAAAACGTAACAAATATAACGATATTAAAACTAAAGATTAAAATAAACCCAAAAAAAAAATTATTTAATTACTTAATAAGTTATATGAAAGTTATATGACTTAATAAGTCATGTATGTTATAATATTATTATATAAAATTATATATATTGTAAATTACTATTGCATCATATGTATTAGATAAAGCGAAAAGTAATGTCGTTTTTTTGTGTGTCAGTTTGAAACCAATAGCGCCGATTAAGTACGTTAATTGTTGGCATTATTTTGAAGCTCTATTCGTACTGTTACTGTTTTCATCTCATTTTTTTTATTTTTACAGATAGTAAAAATGTCATGGCCAAAGATCGAAGAGAGGTGCAGTTGCAGGGTATTTTGTTATTTTTGTTTGATAAAGGATTAAAGCCCAAAGAAATCTTAAATATCCGTGAATACCTGGTCAGTAGCGAAGAACAAATGGTCACTCGCTGATCTAAAGAGAATGGCAATAGATCGCGCGGTCACAAGTCTTTTTAAATG